CAGTATCGTTTGAACGACTATAGTTTCAAAGATACGTGATTCATGCCCTGGATAAATTTTTACTTGTAAGAATTTGCCAGTACGAAAAACAACTGATCGCATGTTGCTGGATGAAATTTACACCCGTATGCTGTAATCCGAAAGCTCGTAGTTACGAATTCGTAGCTCCGTCCCGAAAATTCGAAAATTGGTATGCTGCAATCCGATCCTAACTATCAACGGTATTGCCAACTAAAATAGTGAAATTCGAAGTTCTTACTCAGCTGCTTTCAAATCAAAATAAATATACATAATCACAAGTGAATAGTGAAAAAAAAAATTAGTTTAACCATTATTTGAAAAGACTTTTCCTTAATTAAGTAGAATTCAAAGGATTCACTGGCCGGTGCACTTTTGTCCCAGGAGGAAGAACAGCTTACAGTTGCACTAATATACAAAGAAGATTGCTAAGAAATTGTTCTGATCCATTTAGCTTAAATGATAAAATGTAAGCTCCCTCCTTTTAAGGGCCTCCATTTCACTAGATATTGTGCCGCTTTAATTCTTGGAACGCTTTCCCAAAATTCCACCACATCCTCTTTAGCTCCTTTTACAAAGCCTCGACCAATGTCCAGCCTTTCGCTCATGCATTCCACCAGTTTTTCGTATTGCGAGCGATTTGTTGGGATCTTCGCTCTGTTAATTTTGTAAACATTTAATAATACATTTTTTTTCCTATTCACACTTAAACTTTCATACGTATTTTTGCGTTTACACACTTTATTTTATTGATATTTAAAAAAAATTTGATTCGCTCCGACACGAGTTGCTATTCGTACAAAATTTCCGACAAATACATAAAAATTACAGCTACGTCGGATTCAGGCATATCAACATTACGAATTTCGAAGATGGCCTACGAAATTCGAAATTACGATACGACAACGCGGATTTCAGCATACCAATTTTACGATTCGCGGCAAAATCGAATCTACAATGGATTACAGCATAGGGGTGTTAAACTAATAAGGAAACTAATTGTGGGTTTTTATTGTAGAATTTCACAAAATAAACCTATTTAAATATAAAACATATTGTTTTATTAGGAATTTGCTGCGAATAAACAACCAATTTATAAGCTGTTCATGAAACTTGCAAATTATTACTGGAATAGCGTTCGCGTACTTGCTTGCAAATTTTTTCAATGAGAGGGAATTCTTAGAAATAATAATAGTTGTGTTTTCGTATTCTCCAGAACTTGCCATTAACCAAATTTCGGAGAGTAAGCCAATATTTACTCCCAATGAGTGAAATATGCAAGAAAGTACGAAAACGCAAAACCAGCAAGAAGTTGCTAGTTTTATGAACAACTGATTAATTTGTTATTTTTCGATGCAATTTCCTTAGAAAACTAGTATTTTCCATCTTATCATAAATTTAAATAGGTTTATTTTGTCAATTGCAACTCTAAAGGCACCACAAACAATTATTTTGTTAATGGAGTAACCTACTAGCTCTCTCAGTGAACGGTTGCATTTTTTGATTTTGCTCTTGTGTTTCCCGCTATCTTATAAACGTTATACACTTTGTGTAAAACAGTTACATGTAACCGTAATATCTTTATTTTTAAACAAAAAATATATAAAGTAAAATGAAGATTAAAACCAAGTACGTAAATACATATTTGTGTTCGAAATGGCCCCGGGGGCCACCTACCTTGGGCAGAACAGGTATGCTCTGTTATCTCCGTCCCCGAAACCAAAACGAAAAAACGAAATAGGGGAATTCAAGCCATAAGCAGTGAGGGCAACGTTATCTCTGAGCTTCGTGATGGCAGCTTATTGCTGCTTGCTAAGAATAAGAAAGCTGATGATAAGTTCCTGAATAAGACATTACCCGGAGTTGGAAATATTTCTATAAAGTTACACAATAACCTCAATTCGGTAAAAGGCACAATTTATGCCCCTTCTTAATCCACGTTTCCGAAGACGAAATAGTTGAAGGCCTCAAGGAACAAGGAGTAACAGCTGCTTATAAATTTTCAAAAATTATTGATAGCACACGTAAGCCTTCTGGCGCCATCTTATTAACCTTCGATAACCATACTCTCCCGGATAAAATTGAGGTCGCCTGGAGGATTCTTGACGTTCGCCCATACTACCCTAACCCTATGCGTTTTGTAAGGTATGCCAATCTATTGGTCACACTGCTAAGCATTGCCATAATCCCCCAGTCTGTGCCACGTGTACACTTCCCCCCATTCTCCATCAGATTGCACTAGAGTCTTATGTGCTAATTGTTCAGGCAACCACCCTTCCTCATCAAACCAATGTCCTAAATTCCAACAGATGAGAGGGATCCTCAAAGTTAAAACTATAAATAAGTTTTCATTGCGTGAAGCCATTAAAAAATATAATAGCCAAATCCCGTTTACTCCCAAAGCTAATTCCTACGCAAACATAACATAAAACATCCAACCAAATAGAATCATCAGCAAAACTGAAAACAACATTAAATCAAAATATGAATCTTCCATCGCATCTAATTCTTCTGCTTCTTATGGAGACTCCTCTCCCTCCCCTAACTCCCCCGTTACCAACTTTGATAACTCTTCACCCAACACCCCTTCTCCTTCCCCAATGCTCGTCTCCCTCCTTTCCTTTTCCCAACAAATTCCTCTCTCCCCACCTAATACTCTTGAGTTATCCTCTCCCCCCTCTTCATCTAAGTAATTCTTTCTTTTACTTCTTGCTTCATGATTTCTCTCTTGCAGTGGAATATGAATGGTTATTTAAATAACTATATTGAACTAGAGTACTTAATTAAAACTATTAACCCCTCAGTCGTTTTGTTAAATGAAACCCACTTTGCACATAATATCATAGCCCCTCCCCCAAATTACCAATAGTAAACAAGGCATTGCAATCCTAATTAAAAGAAATCTGCCTCATTCTCCTATTACCCTACTTCCTCTATATCATCTGTTGCTGTAGAGCTCTAGTTAGCAAACAAAATTTCAATTATTTGTGCTTATTCTCCTCCTAATGAATTTTTCTCCTTAACCGACTTTAATAATCTTACTCCCTCTCCCTCTAATCCCTATATAATAGCAGGTGATTTCAATGGTTGGAGTCCCCTTTGTGGTTCTCCTTCAGCTAATTCTAAAGGTCGTCAAATTTAAGATTTTTTCCTTACTTCTAATGGAATTATCTGAATGATGGATCCCCCACCCACTTTTCTACTCACACTTCCTTTACTCATATTGATATCACTCTTTCGTCTTCTTCTCTATCCTCTAAATGTTCTTGGCATCCAATAGATGATCTTCATGGAAGTGATTACTTTCCTATAGTCACCAAAATTTCTACTTCCCGTGTTTTAACGACCTATAAGCCCAGATCCTTGTTTAAAACAGATTTAGCTAACTGGGTAAAATTTGAAGACTCCTGTTTTAGATTTTCCAACTCATTTCCCTCCTCCTCCAATATCAATCAGGAAACTTCCAAGATTCATAAAATTATTCGATGCGCAGCTAATCAGTCTATCCCTGTATCGTCATCGAAACCTGTTAGGCCTACCCCCTTATGGTGGAACAGTGATCTGGTAGAGTTAAGACAAGATAAACAACGTAAATGACATGAATTCAAACGTTATCGCAACACAACCAATCTTATTCAATACAAGAAATCTTACGCTTTATTTCGACGTGCATCTAAAGTTGCCAAAATGTCTTGCATCCAAAAATTCCCTTCCTCCATTAACTCTTCTTGTGACACCAAAAAAATTTGGTCGGATATAAGAAGGCTAACCGGATTTCCATCTTCCTCTTTCATCACATCAATTAATTCATCGCGAGGCAAACTTCTATATCCACGGGATATAACTGAAGACTTTGCTCTCTATTATTCCAATAACTCCTCTGACACTAGTTTCCCTTCTGAATTTTACTCTACTAAATGTTCAATTATCTCATCCTCGTATCTCCCTCCTAACGCTCTATCTTCCTCTGCCAAGCTATTAGATGCTAATCTTTCTCTACTTGAATTCCGCACAGCTCTATCCACTGGGGCAAAACACCTGGCATAGATAAGATCTCCTATACCATCATAAAACATCTCCGTACTTTTCTTTTTTCCCGTATTGTATCACACTATAACAACATCTATATCACTGGTGATTATCCTGTTTTGTGGAAGAAGAGCTCGATCATACCAATTTTGAAGTCAGGTAAACCCCCGTGCGAGGTAGATAGTTACCGCCCTATTTCCCTCCTGCCGGGCCTTGGTAAACTGATGGAGAAGGTTATTGCATCCAGACTCACCTCGTATGTTCATAAGAATAAGTTTCTCCACCCTAACCAGGTTGCATTTAAGAGGGGGCAGGGCACTATTGACGCTCTTTTGCATTTAGATAATTTTGTTTCGGAAGCATTGTCTTCCAGAAATCACATATCGTTACTCTCGATAGATTTTTTAAAAGCTTTTGACCGTATTGGCATCCTTGTGGTATTAAGACGGCTTATTGAATGGAATGTTGGCCCTCGTATATACATTTTATAAAATCTTTTTTTTTCGAATCGTAAAATTAGCGTTCTCATTTCTAACATTCTCTCTTCTACCTTTCCTCTTGATAATGGAACTCTACGAGGTTCCCCTCTTTCTGTTAATCTTTTTATTATTGCATTTGATGAAATTAGTGTCATCATTAACAAATTTCCTAATGTCCTATCTTCGGTTATGGTATCTTTTACTGAAATTCTATCTCTCATATGCAATTGGTCACGTTCTTCAGGCGCCTCAATCTCATCCTCTAAATCCAAATGGATACATATTTGTAAGAAACGAAACTGCACTATTCCTTTACTGTCTTTTAATAATATAAATATACCTTGTACAAATAGACTTAAGTTTATCGGCATTGTATTATACTCTAAGTACTCATTCAAAGATCATTGTAAACATACAAGAGATAAACTATTTTCTTCTTTTTTTCACCTCCGCTCTCATCTTGTCGACTATCAGCTATGGACTAGAAATATATGGGCATCGTGGCAAACATAATCTTAAGATGCTAGCAGCTCCGTACCATACTGCTGTTCGCCGCTCTCTTCGCGCCTTCCCTACATCTCCAATAAAGAATATGTTAACTGAAGCAGGGCTGCCTTCGTTAAACGACATAATGGTAGATTCCACCTATAAGCTCTACCCAAAATTCGTCACTGGCTCCAACTCTCTGCTTCTGAAAGACTCTAATAGAGCTGCCTCACGGAAGCGGTTGCCTAAGGTTCAATCCACCATTTATAAATGTGCAATGTATGCAAGAGACAACCAGTAACCGCTAACAAAGCCTATACCTCGGGGTACTCTTCACCCGCCATGGACAATTAAAGAAGGATCATTCGTCAGCCTCGTCCCTTCCTAAATCCAGCACTACTAGCTCTGAGTACATAGCCCGATTCTCTGAAGTTGCAAATCAGTTCAAATCGAGAGGCTGGCAGTTCATTTTTACTGATGGATCTAAATCTTCTAACACCTCTTTTGCTGCTGTGAAAGAAAATAATATACCTATATCGTACGGTGCTACCCTTCTGTTCTGTTTGCACAGCTGAAGCTACTGCCATTCTTCACGTTTTTAATTTTTCTAAGCAAAGTAAAGGAAAATTTGTCATTTGCACAGATAGCTTATCTTGCTTTAAAGCCACACAAAACTTCAGCAATACTAATTAAATTGTCTGTGCTTTAAGAGACGTCCTAATCGCCTCCCCCACAAACTGAGAATTATATGGGTTCCGGGTCATTCGAGCATCAAAAGCAATTCGATGGCGGACACAACTGCCAAAGAAATGTGCAACACCCCTACAATGACCTCCTCTCTCTTCATCAAGAGCGAAATAAACCGGCTTATAGCTCAACAAAGAAGTGCCAAGTTGACTGGATGAATTATACCAATCATTACTCCCGCATTAACATTACTCGGTCTAAATTAACTTATTCGACGTCCGTCCCAGCAAACTACATCACTCCCTATATACGATTACGTATTGGCCACACCATTATTACAAACAGTCATCTACTGAATGGTACCAGTCCTAACCAGTGCCCTTTTTGTGATTCCACCGTTAGCGTTCTACACATTGTAGCTTTTTGTCCTGTTCTGGCAAATCACAGACATCGCATTTTTGGAAATGATGATCCATTTGAATTACTAATGAACCCTTCTACTAACAACATATGTAAAATTTACAATTTTCTCAAGGATACTGATCTTCTCCAGCGCATTTAAGACAAAGCCTTTTCACCAGCCAGCCGAAAGCCTCTGCTGCTAGCGCTGCTTTTTCATAGGTTGTATAATAATTGTTATTATTATATAAGCTTTCTTAAATAAATAAAATAAAATAAAATTTTGTTAATGTGAATAACATTAATCATCATGCCATCAGCTGTTTTTCTTACTAGGAAATAGGGGTGGGCTTTAGTAGTCAGCCGCACCTTGTGCTTTAAGAAAACCAGGTGGAATTAACAATTGAAACTTGGTCAGGATGTTAAGGGAGGTATCCTCTAAAACATGTATAGCTAAAAAATATAAACAATATAACTGTTTATATGTTATTTGTTGTTAAAATTTCTTAAGACGTTACACTTGATTTCCTTATCAAAGAGTGCATTTGTCACATACTTTCATATATATAAATGCACATAACACTACCTAATACTTTACACACTTTTATTTTATTTTATCTTGTATATGGGCAAATCTAAAAAATAGGTACACTTTCAAACAAAAAATTTTAATTTTTAAATTTGTGAGCACACCTATGCTTTATATATCATTTTATTCGTAATCTCTTAATAAATCTATTAATATAAGTGTAATTCATATTCATCAAGTGCTTCAAAAGTTAGACGAAATGAAATAGAAAAAAAAAGAATAAGCTGGGTTGAAATTACGCTGTTCAAGTTGTAAACTTTGAGGAAAGATTTTGAAAGTTGAACTCACTTAATTGGGATGTTCTAAATTCAATGGCATGCCCTGTATTACCAGATTGGCTCCGGTTTTCGAGATAACGGTACTTGAACATTTGATTAAATTTTAACCATTTTATAAATAACTCCCTCAATTTTGAAGTTATTTTACTAAAATTTTGCACGTAACAGTTTTTTATTATTACCTTAATTATTCCTTAAAATTATCGAAATAGGTTAACATTAACATATAGCTCCAATACAACTGATTACTCAGATATGTGTTTTTGCGCAATAACTCTAACTTCATATCTGAATAATAAATTGTAAACTTAAATGCTTCAAAAACTATACGCGATAAACCGAAAATTTTGAAAATTGTGAAATGTGGAATTACAGACTTTGAGTTACTTGCCATTTCGTTATTTTTTAATGCACACTTTTCTTACCTACTACATTTGAAGTGTACACATAAGTACTAATTGCACATACAATTTAAAATCAGTATATGGTGTGCTTCAAAAGTTATGGCATAATTAATTTTTCACCTCTTAAAATTTACATAAAAAATTCACTTGTTTTCATTATTATTTTTTATTTAAACACCTTTAATTCAAAAGCTATGCGGCAAATTGATCAAAATTTTTTTTGAGGCTTCAAGTATACGTCAATGAATTATATCCAAAAGCAACCAGCTTGATATAGTTTCCAACAGTGAAAATAAAGCTAAAAAACACCAAGGTTACCTGTTTTTTAGATTTGCCCATATAAATCACTTTAATCCAACTTTTATTAACTTGTAATTACATTACATTGCACCCATATTTACAATCATGATACAATAACACATGGTTGCAAACTGACACATAAGATGTGTTCCCATACCGTACAAAACAATACAATAGAAAGAACTCTACGTAGTGAGGGTTATAATCCCTAAGTTCGGCCGCAGGCCGCCTACGCAGAAAGGTGTTATCTGCAAAAGGTGTTGAGCCCCTCTTCTTTGGCAACACAGAAAGGAGAATTCTACGTAGTGAGAGTTATAATCCCTAAGTGCGGACGAAGGCCGCCTAATCAGAAAGGCGTTATCTGCAAAATGTGTTCAGCCCCCCTTCTTCGGCAACACAGAAAGGAGAATTCTACTAAGTGAAAATTCCGTATTAAAAATCCGCTCCGCTCCTGTATGGAAGAAGAACCGGAATGACTTAAATTGGTGTGCTTATAAACTTGTGAGGAATGAGACAACTGTCTTAATAAAACACGAAAAGTGCATGTATTATAGTAAAATGTTGAATCCTGTGCTTCCGAACCATGTTCGGTGGCGTAATTTAAAAAATTTGCGTGGACATGTCAGTGACAGTCCGGACTGCTTACTCAGCCCTGAAGACCTCAACGAGGCATATGTCACTCGTACCACCACTTCCTCTGGTGATAGTATTCCCACTGCTCCCTATCCTCTGCCTCCTACATTTGCTGGCCAAAAAGTCTTTGGATTCAATACTGTATCAGAAGTTGATGTAATAATGTATAAACAGGATACGCTCAAACGCAATTGGGGAAGATGACTCTTGTCATCAACCATATCATCATCCATTTTTTTATATCTCCCTTAGTTTTTGAGATATTTCATGCGCATTTTGTCGTATGTTACATAATATTAATGATTGGGTATGCCTTTTGTTGTACGTGCTGAAAATGCGTCACATACGACAAATTCCCATACAAACGTACTTTTTTTTAAATCATAAAACATTTGTCGTATGTGGCACATACGACAAATTCCCATACAAATGTAATCTTTTTTTTAATCATAAAATATTTGTCGTATGTATCGCAAAACTGCGAACTTACGACAATTCGACGGTCCTCTACTATAACGACACAATTAAAATTGGAAATTAAACTAAGTAACTAATTTTAAAATTTTAAATTTTTAAATTTTAGCTTGTACTGAGTCTCAAATGAAATGAAAGAAATAAAGACTGAATTTAAGTATTGTTTTTTGTTTTTATATAAAGAAAACGTATATTTACAGCATAAGAGATGTACAGATTTTTTTTTTAAATGCATGAATATGTTTTTGTTATGTCTTTTCTAATAAGTAATCATTATTTAATAAATACGTCTGGTTTTTTCATCAAATGATACCATCGTCATTGAAATAGATACTTTAGTATTGTCGTATGTTCCATGGACAAAACAAAGTGGTGAGTAAACGCTACTTACGACAAATGTATACGGAATGAAAAGTCAATTTTCTCATTAACGTTAAGAGATATTAAATTTGAAAATATGGAAAATCAAAACTAATAATACCAACTACGTCTCCTTCAAAAATTACAAAAATCTACCGTACAGTTTCGGATTAATTCGACCTTAAACTTCAAAGTCAATTTTCTCCAAACCGTCTTTTGTAACATTCGACATCCGTTTTCTGAGACGACGAAATGTACAACCAATTGCTAAAATTAAGTCTGCGTGTAGTCCCTGTGATTTTCGTCCCATAAGTATTTTACCTGCACTGTCTAAAGTCTTTGAGTCACTGATGTCCAACCAAATTCAAGCGCACATTAGTGAATTTAATTTGCTATCTCCGTTTCAGTCTGGTTTTAGAGCAAGGCATAGCTGCTCTACGGCTATCCTAAAAATTTTAGATGGTATAAGAATAACCTTTGACAAGAACGAGTTAACCCTGTTATGCATTCTTGACTTTTCTAAAGCTTTTGACTCTGTGAACCATATCCTTCTGTGCATGAAATTGAAAAATTATTTTGGGTTTGGGTATTCTGCAGTGCCACTCATGCAGAGTTATCTGGTTGGCAGAGCTCAGCGTGTTAGAATCGGCTCTCAATCATCTACGCCGAAACCACTACTTGCTGGCGTCCCACAAGGTTCAAAATTGGGACCGTTATTGTTTACTTTATTCATAAATGACATTTTTTATATTTGCCAGCATGTGGACATGCATGCATATGCTGATATACAGCTCTAACTTTCAGCAAATTTTGAGAATGTAGATGAACTTTGTTTTAAGTTTAACAATGACTAGGCATCCATCTCTTCCTGGGCGTTGAGAAATGACCTCCGCCTTAATAGTGAAAAATCATATGTGCTACCTATTTCTAAGAAACACAACAACTCAGATGTTCCGCAACTATTTATTGCCGGTAGTTGTCTCAAATTTGTGTCAAAGGTGTCAAATTTTGGCTTTATTATTAACTCTAGCCTTTCATGTGACGATCACGAAAACTCTGTTGTCAGCAAAGTGTACAGCATTTTAAGAAATTTGAGAACGACTGCCGCCTACACTCCGGTTGACGTTAGGAAAAAACTTGCGTTACAGTTAATGTTACCGATCATATGCTATCCCGTACTTGTCTAGAGCAAATTCTCAATCTGCCCATAAAATTGATGTTGAGTTTAACCACATAACACGCTACGTCTTTGGATTAGCGAAATATGACCATATCTCTGGGTGGAGGTCGCGTTTGTTGGGTTGTGAAATCTAAACGGGGTTAGATCGCCGAAACAACAGCCCTTGGTCGGGTAAAACCCGAGTCATTCTGGTACGTAGAACCGGCTGTCGTGGGAATGGAGAATTACCGTTCTTGTAGGGTGGTTGCTTGGTTTTCTCGTTCTAAAATTATATATCTACACTCTATTGTTTGCGGATGTACTTTCAAGGTACTGCCAATGTAGAAGTATTACATATATTCCTCAACTTAAGCTATGTTGGTGATACTTACCGGGTCGAGAAATTGACATTTTGTTAAATGGGCTTTAATGAATGGGGAATAGCTATTGCACAGAACGGCAGGTATTCTTCTGATGTTTAGCCAATATTTATTTGTCAGATATTGTGTGTTAGCACGTTATGTTCAATTGAGTCCGTATATCAATATATTCACCGGCACTTATATAGTTTCAACAATTACTAAGCAAAGACCAAACAGAAGCCCGATATTTAAGCTGTCCATAGAACTGAAGATAAAGATGAAACGATACGAGTAAACACAAGTACATACTCGATACTTTTCGTTCGATACCAAGTTTTTTGGAATTGATACTTTTGAACCATGCACTGAGTAGGTATCGAAAAACCAGTACTCGTATTGATACCCGATACTAATACCTTGTTCGGACCGACAACGAAATAACTTTGGAAACTAATTTTTTGATTGTGGGCTGGAAGTTGCTGTTGTTGTCGTTATAGCGGCGGCAACAACCCCGCCCACGTCGGTTAGTCCCTCAATCGTTGTCGTCAATCTCTTCTAGCGGTAGCGGGCAAATTTTAGAATGGTAACCCCCCGAGTACGGAATTAAGGAAATTGGAAGGGGGTTGGGGTAGAGGGGGCTCTAAAGGGGGTTTATGTAAAGTTTGAAAGCGCGCAACATTATAGTTTTAAAGTAATTTTTTATTAAAGTTGTGTGGGACTACTTTATAATATATAATGCACTTTAAACTAAATTTTCACGTTATTTACTCTCAATATTTGTGCAGTCTTTTAGCATATTACAGCAATCCCACTACAGCCGGTTCTACGCACCGGAATGACTCGGGTTTTACCCGACCAAGGGCTGTTGTTTCGGCGATCCATTTGAATCGGAAGATAAAATCAAATGCGTATTACAATTCGAATAAGTCTACATCACACATTTATAATTGGAATGATTTACGTATATAAATGCTCAAATAATAAGTCAATTCCAAGCTTGTTCTTTTAGAGAAAATTCACACAATTAACATGAAACTTATACCTTATTCTTTTGCATAAACATGCACTGAAAGTAGAAATTACGTAAACAGATGATCACACTTGACATTACTTAATAAAAACATAATTTTTCCAAAATTTCGTAAAGGAAAATCGATACATTTTCACACTCGATTTGCAATATCGTAAAACTAAGTTAAAACTATGTTCACATTTCAATATTATCACAATCAAAGCTCGTCTTTTAATCACCCCGTTTACACAGGCAAATCTCATATTATCAGCCGTCAAATTTATTGTGCTTGTTATTCTCACATCTCAAGGAAAAGTTATGTTTCTTCTCTGTGCCACCGTGATCACGTTTTTATGCTATAATAAGCAATATAAATATATTTTAACTTAACATTTTATTAAAAATACCTTTACAAACCTCTTTTCCTTGCTAGGGTACATTTTTGTTTACTTTTGCATTTGGCGTTTCTCCTCTTTTTTGCAACAACAATCGATAAAACTAGATTGGACACCGAAAAGTTATCGGTTTAATCTGAGATTATTTTATAATTTTAGAATAATACTATGTTGAAAAAGGGCCTAATTGGCAATTAGGAACCTTTTCACCAATTTAAGCCTTAATTGTTACCCAATTTATCATTAAAAAATTCCATTTATTAATTGCCAATTAATTACACTGTGAGACAAATGGTAGGGGTCAGTGATCGGGTAGGGGTTCAAACTACCGGGGAAAGTTATATCGGTAAAAAAGAAGTTATACGTGTGCGGGCCACGTATAACTTGTTTTTGACCGATATAACATTTCCCGTTGGTTTCATCCCATTCCGATCTTGACTGTCGCATAGTGTTATTAATTGGCAATTAGTTTGTGTCAGATTCTCTATGCAGCCCTGCTAGGTATGTTTAATTTTGACTTGGAGCTATGTTTATTGAACAAAGAGCAATCAGCTGTTTGTTTCCGTCCCTCCTTTACAGGGATGGAAAATTTATTTATAAAATTGTATCTAATTTACGGAAAGCTTTATCTAAAAGTGGATATATGTACCCAAAAAGTAAATATCGTCGGTCCCTACGAAGAGTAGCACATTTCACTATTCGCGTGGAAGACTAGCACATTTCACTATTAGCGTGGAAGACTAGCACATTTCATTATTCGCGTCGAAAAGTAGCACATTTCAGATTTTTGCGTGGAAGAGTAGCACATTTCGTTATTTGCGTGGAAGACTAGTACATTTCAGATTTTTGCGTGGAAGACTAGCACATTTCAGATTTTTGCGTGGAAGAGTAGCACATTTCGTTATTTGCGTGGAAGACTAGCACATTTCAGATTTTTGTGTGGAAGAGGGATACGCAAGGCAGTTCATATAAGGTTGTAGCAGCCGTTAAAAAAAAAAAAAGTTACATAAATATGTATGTTTATACTATAATTATTTTTCTTCGGTCATGCTGAAAGTTTAGTGTTGTATATGGAGCCTTTTGGCCGGTTATTACAAGTAAAATAAACGTTTATTTTTCCTCCTACACCTTTCGACATTCGCGTCTTTCTCAGGGAATCTTTATTTATAAATAAATACGAAAAAACATATACATACAGTATCATATCAAGAACACCCCGTTTCAAAGTGATATTATTTATGTTATGTTTATTTATTGACTTAAAAAACCTTCAATTAAAATAAAGTCAATTCTCTTAAAAAAATCCATATTGGCCCAAGTTTAAAGCCCAGGAGAATACTAAAAAAACTCAACAAATTTTCAACAACGCAAACGCAAATGAAATATTTTCCTTCGAAGAACTGTCCAAATATTTTCATTGGCAAAAAATTAAGATATCACATGTACGGAAAATTACAATAAAAAATAGCAAAAATCAAGTAGACATGGCAGTAAAATACGACTTTATGCAAAGCGAGGAGAAGTTGAACCTAATGAAAAAAATGTTCAATGGTCAACCATGAAACACTGTGAATTGCCTAAAGCTTACAAGGGAAAAATACCTTTAAAAAAAAGAAAAGTGGATGATATTCAACAAATGATTAGTAAACGGTATATACCGTCTGAATTTCATGATTTTCATAATACAATTAAAGAAATATAGAGTAAACGTTTGAATTTTCAATATATATTATGCTTTTATGATTTACTTTAAACCGGAGACGTGCAGTTTTCGCGGCTTAACAATCTGAAATATGCTACTCTTCCAAGCGAAAATCTGAAATGTGCTAGTCTTCCACGCAAAAATCTGAAATGTGCTAGTTTTCCACGCAAATAACGAAATGTACTACTCTTCCACGCAAAAATCTGAAATGTGCTAGTCTTCCACGCAAA